ATCTATCTATCTATCTATCTATCTATCTATCTATCTATCTATCTATCATCTACCTATTTATCATCCACCTATTTCTATCTCCCCCTCCCCACCTCTCTACTTCATGGTTATGTCTCAAGATATGATCTCTCAGCTACTGTCCCAGCACCGTGCCTGCCTGCCTGATGCCCTGCTCCCTGCCATAATGGTCACCAACTCACCCTCTGACCTATAAGCCTAGAATAAACTCCTTCTTTTATAAGTTGCCTTGGTCATGGTGTCTTATCATAACAATAGAAAGCTAACTAAGATATTGGTTCTGTAGAAGAGTTTATATTTGCACAGAAATTGCAATGAAATCACACATTTCTCCTACACTCATAGTATGCCCATCTGCTTACTTTCTGCTATTTAGCATCATATAATGCAACATATTATAACAAACACTGGGGCATTGCTATTATCGTTATCAGTTGGATAACATCACCCTATGTGCTGTGCATCCTATGTGTATAGGCAAATGTCCTGTGTCCTGTGTCCTGTGTCCTATATTACATGCCACACAGAGCAGTCTTGCTGGCCTAAAACACCCTGCATTTCTTTGCCCATCAATCTTCCTGGGCAACGCCTATTCCCATCACTGTCCCTTCTCAGGGTCTACTTAGCATCAACTGGCTGTCTGGTTTCAGGAATATTGAATTTTTATTAGAATACATGGTTTGCTTCATGCCTGATGCAGCTAAGAGTGCCCTTTGGGACCTGGAATCCTTCTAACCAAGTTCCTACTGAGGGTGGTGTCCCACAGGTCAGCTGTGCCCTGAGAAGGATTCCAGGAAACCACAGGCAAGCTAAGGACTGTCTTGGATCCAGCAACCTTTCCTTTGAGGCTTTTCCGGTCCCCTCGTGCATGGTCACTTACAATGTTCTTGAAGAAGTGGACTACTGGGTTTTCATCTTGGGTCCGGCCGTGCTGCGACTTCTGGGGCAGGGAGCCATAGTGGGTAGTTCTTGTGTGTGAGTCCTGAAAGAGAGAAGCATGCCACTTAGGATGACAAGGTCATAACTGGGCCAGGTCCGTCCTGAGGAAGGTGGGCTCCCACTCTGTGCTTCCCGGTGATGGGGAAGATGCTGGTGTGTCGGCAGACACCTGAGTTAGGCATGGGGCTTAGGCGGAGGAGACGTGGTGGTGCAACCGCAGCTTGCTAGGTGGCCACCCTCTGTTTCTGAAGCCATCATGGGCGGAGGTAGTCTGTTCATTAGCTTTGGAGCAGTGGCATCATGAGCTAGCCTCTGCCTCAGGTCACCAGGGCTGAGTCTGCCGATGAGCAACTGACACTTTCCGACCTCGAGTAAGACGCAAGTAAAGAACAATACCTGCTGTGTGTCCATCTGACCCGAATGTTCATAGTCCACAGAACCGCAAGGTTCCGGGACAGTGGATAGATCCAGCGAGACACTCCAGCAAGCACAGGGGCAGTGACAGAGCACAAGCTCGGCGGGGAGACTGAACGGCTCTGCTTTTGCCTGCTGCTGTCCTCCTGGCTGCCACTCAGTGCTCAGCCCAGTGAACACGCACAGTGACACAGGAAGAGTCTCCATGTAGCCAGATACCCTCGGGAAGAAGCCAGCAGGGAGACTTCACAACACTACAGTTCTCAGAAAATCATAGTTCCGGAGGAGACGGCACATGGTGCCCCGTCTCTCCTCTGCAGCTCCCAGCACAATCGCGGGATCACCTTTGGGCCTGGAGGAACCTCCTCCAGCCAGCAGCAAGAATAACAACGGGTGTGTGTGTGTGTGTGTGTGTCTGAGAGAGGCCTGTCTGCAGAGGCCACAGCTAGGCAGTCCGGTCCCCAGCAGCATCCCGTCTCTCTGTATATGGATTGGGAGAGCCCCCTAGAGCTGTTTGCCACTAGAAAGCCATGAACTGCTTCTCTGGCGCTTATGAGGGTGTGGGTGATGGGCATGACTCCCTGGGTGATAGCTGGAGTTGCCAAATGCTCAGCATTTCTCTGTGCCCGTTGTGCCATGAGCCTGACTGTGATGAACTGAACAGCCAGCACAGCTTCGCCTTCCACGTCGTGTGCCCTGAGGGCACGGACACGTGTCCACTCCACAGCCTTCACGATAGACAGCATCAGACAGAACACTGTAGCTCTGTGATCCTAGCTGTGTGTTTCTGCACATCGGGGGGCTGCTTCTTCCCAGTCACCTCGACCCTGTCCACCCACTTCTGACATCGACAGACCTTTGACATAGTCCTTGCCCTCCCTCTCCCCTCTTTCTCTTACATAAAGACCAACGTTCACTGCTTCCCAATGACAATGTACTGAACCTCCTCACTCTTCACGGCCATGCTCCACGTTCCCAGCTCACCTCCAGCTGGCACTTTCTAAATGCTCTTCCTCTCCCCTCCTGCTGTTTCCACCCTGACAGCCAGCTCACACCCTGCAAACTCTTAAGGTTCATTCCTTTTCGCAATACGTGTGTCCAGTGCCCTGCTATGGATACAGGATGCCATTCGCTCTTCTGTAGCAGCTGGAAGGGGCCTGAGCTTCCCAGGCTACCCAAACCCCTTAGAGCTATGAAAGCTGGAGTCAGGCTGTCCATGATAAAGCAGGGAATGGACCGTGCAAGCCATCTGCTATGGGTGACTGCTGTGGCTTGCACAGATCTCTGATCTTAATATTGAACCTAACCATGAATCAATCTATATGCTAGGGGTCATGCATATGGCTAGCATATACATCGAGAAGGCCAGGATGATGGCTTGAGGTTTTGGACCTACACTGTCCCACAGATAATTTGAGCAGCAATGTAATTATATCTGCTTTGCTATATTATATCTGCAGACTTTTTGAATCAAAAGATATTTAGGCAATCATATTTCTATATAATAGCAGCAAACAGATAAACACAAACACAAAATTTAAATGCCACCAGACCTAGTGACAGAAAAGGACCAGACAAAGCATTTACAGAATTTGGCCTGAGCTGTATCACAGCAGTAGAATACTTTCCTACCAAGGCTCTGGGATCAGCCCCTGGCACCCTAAAACAAAGCATGGTAGCTCCATGTAGGGATTCATTAGTCTAGAAACTAGAAAAAAGACCAAAGAAGAGTTAAGTAGAGAGACATTTTATATTCATGGATTGGAAGACCCAAACAGTAGAGATGTCAGCTCTATCTATCTATTTAATGCAATTGCCAGTAGAGTTTTGTTTAGGTACTGACAAACTAATCTTGACCTAAATGGTAATGCAAAAGAATCAAAATAGCTAAACCACTGTAAAAATATAGAAACTACCCAAATCACATGGTTTTACTTTTGAGATTTATTACATAGTTTATAGTAATCAAGCAAGGTTTCCTAGATATGACATCAAGAGCTGATTCATCAAGAAAATAGGTAAATCAGACCCCATGAAAGCTCACCACTGTTTACATGAGCACTCTCAGGAGCCCGAACATACAAATGACAGACTGGAAGAATGTATTTGCAAATCACATATGAGAAAAATAATTAAACACAAAATATGTTTTTTTTAAAAAAAACACTAAACCTTCAAAACTCAGCAATAAGAAAATAAACTGATTAAAAACTGAACAAAATACTTCCAGAAACATTTCACCAAAGATGTGTGGAAAACAGCTGAGACGTGAACAGTAACTGCTCAATACCAACAACCGTCAAGAACATGCAAACAGGAGCCATGACATGTGACTACCCACCTGTTCAGATAACTAAGAAAAAATACTGACAATACCAAGTGTTGACTGGTACAGGGAGCAACTGGAACTCCCACGCGTTGCCATAGGAATACGAAACTAGTGCAGTCCCTGGGAAAAACAACTCGGCAGTTTCTTGCAGCAACAGCTGCATATTGACTGGATGGCCTGCAATCCCAGCAGCAGCTGCACATTGACTGGATGGCCTGCGATCCCAGCAGCAGCTGCATATTGACTGGATGGCCCTGCAATCCCAGCGGGAGCTGCATATTGACTGGATGGCCTGCGATCCCAGCAGCAGCTGCATATTGACTGGATGGCCCTGCAATCCCAGCAGCAGCTGCATATTGACTGGATGGCCTGCGATCCCAGCAGCAGCTGCATATTGACTGGATGGCCCTGCAATCCCATCTCAAGCTTGGAAGGATGAAAGAGAAATACTGTATTTTTGAAAGAGATGTTTAAATGAATGTACTGATCACTAATCATTTGAAAGAAAATAATTTAGATCTTAAATGAAGAACTTATACTCACTCAAAGCCTGTACATGAAGTTCTGTAGAACATTTTCATCCCTGCAAACTATAAACAACTCAAGTGTTCTTCATCAAGAGAATGAACACACTGCGGTATACTCAGTCAGTGGAATGCTAATTAGCAATGGAACAAACAATATTTCGAAACACATAATAACACCAAGACATCTCTAAGTCAGGCTTAATGGCAGGATCCATTCAAAAAGATTTTACCTATTTCATCTTTTCCTGTGCCAGCCCCGAAAAGTCTATCCCGCGGTGAGGGAGGCTAGAGCAGGGGTTGCTGTAGCTAGGAGATGAGAGAAAGGGGGAGTTTTGACTACTCAAGGAAGGGGGGATGGGTTTAGGTTGATATGCCTTTGTGGTAGTAGCTATACAAGTTTATCAATCTGTTAAAACATATAGAACTTTATACCAAGCAAGTCCGTTTTGCTATATGTTAGTTTAGAAAACAAAACAAGGCCATGTAACAGCATGCACGGAGCCATCATTCTGTCCTGTGAGTTTTCCCACCAGAACCTCCGTGGGGAGGCAGCCTGGATCTCAGCTTCCACTCTGGAGCTTTACTTCCATGCCAGTCTCGCTTAGTCCGTTAGAATGGCCTCCCCTCCACCTATGTCACTGCCTCCCGACCCGGGCAGCACCTTTTAGCTGCAAAGTATTGCCACGCTGGGCAATCCTTCCTGGTTTTCTGCGCCTCATGCCTTCATCTAGGTTTTACTTTTTCATCAGAAAAAAACAGATCTGTGTGGGCCCCAGGGTGCTGTTGGATTACCATGGTGGCACTCAGCAGCTAGAGAGAGGAAGGAGCGCAGGAGCAAAGTCCTCCTCCTACCACAGTGTGCAGAAGGAGCTAGTCACAGGACCCACTAGTCACACCCTCCAGGGCCGGATGTCAGAACCCGAGAAACCCTTGGCAGGTGCTGGGTCGACCAGGCCCTGGCTTCCTCATGTGCAGCATGGTCCTGAAGCACAGTTGCAAAGGAACACAAAGGGTGGCGGATCTCCAGTGATGTCACGCCTTGGGACATACCCCAATCTAGACCTGGCTTTGTGGTGAGTACAGCGAAAGCCAAGAGACCACCCTAGTTGCCAGAGTAGCAACATCCTGGGCTGGGGCCAGACCAGGGCTGTATCTGAGTTCTTCAAATGCAGAGGACAAGGGGTTGCATTTTAGCCATTTCTAAATATACAGTTCAGTAGCAACTATGCATCCATCACGCAGCCCACTCAACCCTTCCTACTTTAGCAGACTCTATCCTAGGCAAGCCCTGGCCTTTCTCTCTCCAGCCTCCAGGACCACGGCTCTACTTTCACATTCCACAAAAATACAAATATTTTCTCCCGATCTGTGGCTTGTCTGTGCACACTGCTAACAGTGTTCACGCAAACAGCATTGAGCTTTGATGGGGTCTAATCTGCCTATTTTCTTGATGAGCCAGTTTTAATGTTAGGTCTAGGAAACCCTTTTCTACCCCGATCAAGAAGATTGTTTCCTATGCTTTTAAGATTTTTGGAATTCTCCGGCGTTCGTAGAGATTTATGATTCAGTTTCAGGTGACTTTTACACAAGATGAGGGTTGAGTTGAGGAACCTTCTGCTGTTGGTGGTGGTTGGCAGGTAGGTGTCCAGTTGTCCCAAGACCGCTTGTTGAAAAGATCCCCATTTTTCCGTTGAGTTGTCGCTGAATCTTTGTCAAAATGCGATTTATTATAGGGACCCACTCTATATTTCATGTAGGAATATTCCATATTTT